TGAGATATTTTGCTGCCCCTCTTTAACAGATGGGGAAAAATAGGGCCTGAGAGGAACTGATGACATACCTAAGATGACCTAGGGAGACCGTAATTGAAAACTCAGTTGAAGGCTTCTGAGCAACCTCCCTTAAAGAGCGTATCCTCCCTCTGTACTGTGCAGGCTGCCTTATCATCTGTATGGGACACTTTGGGCTCCTTGAAATGGTTTTCTGCTCTTACTTTCCATTAGCTTCAGCTCTTCTTTGCAGAATCCCAAACAGGTCCGTTTTCCTCTGCTTACAGTGAACAACAGCAAAAAAAACCCCTGCTGAATTGATATTTACTGGTTTGGGAACATGGGAATCCAGAAGAAAAATGCGTCAGTACAGTCTTGGGGTTTTTTGTTTGGCGACGCAGCGAGGAGGATGACGGGAGAGGGCCCGTGAACCTTGCACAGAGCTGGCGAGGGCACGTCGATACCGGTGGGTTTGGCCGCACCTAGGGGAGTGGATGGCAGGCAGCAGCGTTTGGCCTGGGGCTCTGGGGCAGACTTCTAGGTGGAGCCTAATAACCTTCCATCCCTGCTCCTCCTCACTGCTGACAGCAGTCCTGGAAGCTGGGCTGCGTTGCTAATTTGCCTCCCAAACTGTCCTCCTTTCCTGAAAGCTCTTTTGGAGCCTATCACCAAAATAATTGTCTTGCCACAGGGCTTACCTTCCCTCTCTCCTTTATATTGGAAGGGATGGACGCACTTATAGCTGTAGACAGCTTGTGGTTTTGGACTGATCATAGGCATCCCTGATATTTAGTTTCTATTATTTATCTGTCTGGTTCAAGCTCCTCTGTTTTCCAGAAGAAGATGACAAAAATGCTGATGAAGTTATTGGGGTGGTTAATAGTCTGGGGCACTGGCTGATGTCCAGGTTTAGCAACTGCCAAACTGTGGCTCAGGATGGTGAATTCCCATCCAAGCTATTTAAACACCTGACCTGGCTGGGAGGAGCTGTTTCTTTCTGCAGTTCTAGAGCAGCAGTTGAAGTCAGGAATATGAGATTTCCAGATCAAGTGAGGACTGTTTTCCTTTCACACACACACCGTGGCTGGAAATCACATCCAGGGCTAGCGTGGATCAAAATTGTGACTGAGGGGTAAAAGTGGTAGGCACGTATGCACACAGTGATAAGCAGTTCATGAACAGTTTGCACTCCTGTTTGGTCCCTTCAGCCTTTCCTGGTGCCTCTGTCTTTACCTCCCATTCTGCTGTGGGTTCCTCAGTCTATAGCAGGACCTATAGCATTAATACTTTAAGCCAGAGCCAAGTCTGCTCCTTGCTGTCCTGAGTCCAATAAGCTACGGTCATCAAGTTTCAGGCTTTCTTTGGCTTGTGTAATTTTGAGAGGCCCCTTGCTTCTCACAGGCTGGGGTTTAAGGATGGCAGTAAGCTCAAGGTGCTCCGAGGCTCTTAAACTTTCAACACAGATCACAAAACAGAGCTAGTGGTGTGGATGGGCTTGTATAAAGCAGGATGAAGCTCAGAAACATAGGGCTTTAGACCAAGTTTCCAGCTAGTTTTAGCATTTCTATATCTTTTGCCCTTCACCGTTGTAGTGCATGCTTTCCGCTTATTAAGACTTCTTTTCTCTACACCCTTCCTCTTGCCTCTTTCATAGCCTAAGCCAAAAATATTTGTCTACCACAAGCGATCAATGCCAGATTTGTTGTGTGGGCAGGACTAACAGTGAGTAAGGGATAACAAAACAGAGAAAATTGATGCTTCACTAAAAATAGACCTGCTGCAGAAGGTAGAAACTGGTTCCTCATGTCAAAGCTAAAGGATAATTAATTGAGCAATTGAGATGAATTTGGAAAATGATTCTTGGTGAACCACATCCTTCCCGCACTCAGGGAGGAGGCAGAGGATGATACAGTTTTGAAGCAAGCACAGCAGTGGTGAGAGGAGCTGTGTTTGCAGCCGTTGGTGACTAAAGCTGCCTATTGTTTGGCTTTGTTGTGAGAGGTTAGAGCATTATTGCCCAGGGTGCGTGCTGGCAATTGTTGAGATCTTCCTTTACAAATGAGTAGGAATCCATGTGGAGCTCAGTCTCAAGTGGAACAGACAAACTTTGCAGAGAGAGGACACAACAAGGTTTCTTGCTTGCTTGTCTGGTTTTCCCTGTACTTTGCCTGCCATGCCCACAGTTTTGGAGGACTGTCACTTGCCATGGCATCAGGCAGTGCCAAACACTGATTTTAGTGAAGGCATCCATACTCTAGGATAGCAAATACTACTGGTCTGGTCCAGTGCTGCTGAAGGTAATATAGACTTAATTCAGTGTTTTGCCCTCTGGACCAAGCCCTGAAACTTAACCCAGCTATGTTATTGCACCTACTGAAAATCGTTCCATAACATAATCTGTTGTCCTATAACCTGTGGCCTCTGCACCATCTGACTCAAATCTGTTTTCTGTTACTACAGCAGATTATAGCAGCTGATTGCCAAGGCAGCACCTGCCGTGTAATTATAGCTAATACATTGTCAGCTACAAGCACTATGGCTGCCAATATGGGGAAGAAACCTGTGCCAGAAACAAGCTGTTGGTGATGCTGGGGAGCTGGAGGCTGCCGGAGGACAGGAGGGGATGCCCCACTGAGCCTGGTGCACTCCTCTTTGAAGGCAATTCGCAATGAGAGCAAGGGGAGAAATGACCTAAAATGTCCTGCAATGGGGTTAAAAATGTGTACTCCATTGCTAGTCAGGATTTCCGTAAGTGGCCACTTGAGCTCATTAATTTTTGTTGGTGGTAGAGGAAAGCCTTCTCTTTTGAAGTGTAGGTGCATTTAAACTCTTATCATATCATCCCTTGTCCTTCCATTCAACGGGCTAGAGGAATGGCGTGTCTCAGTAAAACCAGTAGGTGAACCAGTCACCACCTGAATCATATATTTCCTATGATGATTCCTGTGATGTCCACTGATGACAAATTAGGCAGAGGCTAATGACCCTTGCCGTCACAGTAGTAGCTAAGTGCCTCCAAATTCAGTGAACCCCCCGGGTAGACAGACGAGGGGAACACAGATTGGTGCCCTAACTGGGGAAGAGACTAGCAGAACTCAGCTGTGACACTGTCCCGGTATCTGTTTTGCCAAACCAGCCCAATGGGGGTTGGCCAGCTACTACATGTGCTAGGCAGCTGGTCAACCTACGCATAGCAGCAAAGCATTATTTTTTTTGCCTGGTGGGCATGAAACAGGGGAGCTGCAAGATTTTGACCTGTGGAGGTCTCACAGTGAACATGGGACATACATCGCTGGAAGAGTTGTATCAATTCTGCTTTTCCCAGAGCAATTTATTATCATCAAATGCCACTTTCCCTCCTCTCTTGCTGTTGAATCTTTCTAAAATGGGCTATAGTAATTGTTTTGAATATTCTCACAAGGCTTTAGAAATAACATCTCGGTCAAATTTATAATTTTCTAGGAGCAACTCTGACTCCCCTGGTCTGCACATTGCATTCTTTAGTCTTCATTAATTTTGTTCTTGGCATCTGGAATCCATGGGAGTCCTAGACATGCAGGCTGGAAAAGACTTGATAAATTCATGCAATTCTTCCTGTGAACAGAGGTAGCATCAAGCATACCTGGACCATCCTGTAGACCATACCTAGAGATCTTGACAATGATTTGTCTATACCTGTTCCTGAAAATCCTACATGAGGAAGATTCTACAATCTCAGTTGTCCACTGTTACGCTTAACTAACTTCATAATTATTAAGTCTTATTGCAATGATTAACTGAAGTCTTGCTTATTATAAATTTAGCTTTTTATATTCTTTTCCAGGCAGAGAACAATTTGAACAATGGTCTTTAGTTTAAAAAGTATGTATTCAAGATGTTTTGCCATATATTCCTATTTTTCTTCCGGTGAGGCAAAGCAAGTGTGTTCTTTCTAACTTTTTATTTATCATAGTTCCTAAACTGTTAATAGTATTAATTTTCCTTTAACTTAAGAGAGAATTTGAAGAGGTTAAAACTCTGCTAAGGCAGAGATCTGTAATTGTAGAAAACCACCTTAATACCAACTCATAGAAAACAGTTCAGCCCAGTGTCAGGTGTCTCATATGTCCAATAACGAATAGGGAAAAAAATAAAAATTGAGGTTTGCTTACTTCATCAGGCACTCTCATCTTTCAGCAACGAGTGGTTTAAAAACTTACTGAACTGTAGGTTACATCTATATCATCACATTTAACAGACCCTGATGGACTAATTCAATTGGCTGAAAAGAGGTTAGTCAAATTTTATGGTTAATCTTCAAAGCATCTGGTGACATTGAGTTCCTCAATTTACATGCTATCCGCACAAAAAACATATTTCCCACAGCTTGTCTCAGATGGGTTTGCCTGGCTATTTAACCACTGCTCCCACCTCCTTTTATCCCCCATGAGCTCTTGTATTGTGAGAAATAGCAAGTGTTCTCCGTATCATTCATGTTTGCATAGACCAGTGGCAGCACGTTTGTTTGGTTTGGTTGGGGTTTTTTTGTTTTTTTTTTTTTTTTTTTTTTCCTAATACCAAATGCATATCAATTATGAAATCTTCGAATGAGATTGACCTCCTCTAGACAAACTACAGCAATTGGTCTGCACTCCTTGCTCTTGTTTAGTTTGTGGTTTATTCCAAGTCCTGACCCTTTTCTTCAGTGCCTCACCTAGCTAGTTATATTCCCCTTTTGGAATAGGTCTGTTGGATTTATTGTTTTCCCTCTCCCTCTTTAGGGCAGCTCCTCCCGCTTTTCTTCACTGAACTTTGCTTTTCGTGATGCAGATGTTTGTCTTGCAGGTGGAGACCACTGGAAGCAGAGCCCTGTGCCGCAGCACCAAAGCTTTTGTCTCACAACATATGTGTAACCAAGAGTGTGCTTTGGAGGTGTCCACTTCTAAAACATCTTTCTTTGCAGAAACAGGAGGAGAAGCCTGTCTTCACAAAGAATCTAAATTGAATCATTTCCTCTGTGCTAGGGAAGGAGAGCATGGATCTGGCACAGATGGAGGGATGGCTCTGCAGGGTCGTGGCTGAAGTAACCTGCAGGTTTAATGCTACTCTGGAGGACTGAAGTGCTACCATTCTGCACCAGGACAAGCCCTGCTTCACAGAATGTTGTTGGAAGAACATGATAAATATACTTTATGGGATTTTACGAGGCTTTAGGAAAGAGGTTTCACATTGTTTAATTTATGAAGGTAATAAAAGATCAAGAAGCCTACTATGATTACAGTTTGAAGTCATCAAACCTTTGTCATTTTTTTTTGTCTTGAGTATTCCTTAACCCATTCTAAAACTTCTTTCCTGCAGAGAAGTGTCCCGCACACTTTCTTCCCAAAATAGAGCAGCAGCCGCTCCTGCCTTTCTGCAACCCCACAACTCTCCTGCTGAAATAGGAGGTGAGATGCGGCAGTTTCCTGCACAGATTAATTGCAGACATTTCAGCTGCTGAAGTAATTGCCTGTGGGAAGGGACAGCATGTAATTTGAGAAAGGATTTTGCCTCCCCTCCTGTGTAGAGTAGAAACTTACTTGGCACGTATGCCCAGTGCTGGGACCTCAGGAGGGCTGGGGAATATGGCTGCACCTGCACTCTGTAACTTCATGTGTTCACATCATCCTTACACAGGCCTGCTCACTCATCCCTTCTTTCACCCAAGTCATGTTACTGAGGATGCTGCTCTACTAAAACTTTATTCTGAGCTGTTTGTAGTCCCTGATCATTCTGTTTCAGTAATGTTATGAGTCCGGTTAAGTAAAAAAAGAATTGCTGTACAGATGTCTCTATAAATATCATGAAAAGGTTTTGATCCTCTTCCTCTTACTACTTCATGTCTGACCTCAGGAAAGTTACCAGAAATCTTTCAGAGAGCGCAGCTGGGTGCTGGCGATGATAAGTGCAGGGAGTCATAAAAACCATTGTCGTGGTTTGAGCCTGGTCAGCAGCCAAACACCATGCAGCCATTCTCTCCCCTGTCTCTTCCAGCAATGAGAAGGGACAGATGAGCCAGGCTTGGGGTTCGAGATAGGACCGGGAGGGGAAAATCACTCTTTATGGTCATGAGCAAAAGGCAGACTCAGGGGAAGAAAAAAACAACATACATTTATTACAGACACTAACACCATGTAACAGAGTAGGACAGTGAGAAGCATTGCCACATCTTGAGGACACCTTCCCCCCACCCCTCCCTTCTTCCCGGGCTCAGCTCTGCTCCCGATATCTCTACCTCCTCCCCCAGCGGCGCAGGGGCAGGGAATGGGGGGTGCAGTCAGTGCTGCCGCTTCTGCCATCTTTGGTGGGGGGAGCTGCTGGAAATTCTTCCCCCCCTGCTCCAGGGTGGTCCCCCTCTCACAGGAGACAGTCCTCCACAAACTTTCTCCGACATGAGTCCCTCCCATGGGCCGCAGCGTTCCCCACACTGCTCCGTCATGGGTCACCAACTTCCTCCGACTGGATTCCCTCCCACGGCTGCAGCCCTTCCCGAGCTGCTCCGGCGTGGGACTCCCCCGCACGCTGCAATCCTCCCAGCACTGAATTACAGCAGCGGGGCTGCCTTTTCCCATGAGACCCCGGCCTTCTTCGGGCACAGCTCCTTGATCAACCATGTGAAACACAGGCCATAAATCAATGTCTGCTCCACTGTAGATCTCCATGGGTGGCGGGGGGGGCCGCCCTGCCGTCTCCCCACAGGGTACAGGGGGGTCTCTGCTCCGGCACACCTCCCCCCTCCTTTCTTCCTCCATTCCTCCACCGACCTTGATGTTCACGCAGCTGCCCCAACTTCTTGCTCGTCACCACGTCCCTTCTTAAATACATTCTCGCAGAGGCACAGCCAATTGGCTCAGTTTTGGTGCAGAGTTGGGGCTGACTTGGAGCTGGGGGAGCTTCAAGAAGCTTCTCACAGGGGCCACCGCTGTAGCCCCCTCCCCTGCTACCAAAAACCCCACCACTCACTCAAAGCCAGGAAATTTCACCCCTTGCCTCTGCGAATCATGGATTTAAGAGCTATCATGAGATCTAACATTCAGTACAGAAGATAGTATACACATCAACATCAGAACAAAGAGAAAACAAAACCAAACTGAAACAGGGAAAAAAAAAAACTTCCCCACACCCAAAAATAATAATAAAAAAAAAAAAAAAATTGGCAAAATACTGACACACAATACAGAAAATCCACCCCTAGTTACTTCAACACACCAGGAAAAAAAAAAAAGTTACCCACAATTACAACTACAGAGATTCTAAAGATCATTCCACTAACAGAGTTCAGACTTTATTTTGCCCGTTACCTCTCCCAATTAATATCCTTATCAAAGCACATCCCTCTGCCCCACAGTGGCTCTGCCTCTATATTAAAGGGTAATACAGTTGTGTGTAACACGGGAAATCGTAGACCAAATATTGACCACTGCACCCTGTGTAGATTTTGCCGAGATTGCCTTTGGTTGCCAACTGGTGGCCAGAAACTCTCGGTGGCTCAGGCGTTCCCTAAGGCCACGGACCCGGTGGCTCGGAGGCACTGGAGTAGGCAGCTTGCTGGTGGCTGCAGCACTGCTCTAGCCAGAGGTCAGGAGCATCTCCTGCCCACGCAGAGTGGGCTGTCTTGGTCACATCTTACTGGGAGATTCAGATTAGGTAAGGAATTAGGTAAACTCCATGTGCTACGGTACTAAAATGGCATATATATTTATATACCCCTTTCTACTGGAAGAGTGGAAGTATCAGAGTTTGACAGTAGTTTGTGAAAACCTGTTGGGAGGGTGGGTAAGAGGCAGTATTTCCAGACTTCTGGGGACTTCTGCTAACAGCCTCATCAACTCACTCTAGTAAATTGGCCAAGAACCCTGGTGGGAGGTAAGCTTTGAGATGCTTGTGGATGGGGCAGGGATTGCCTTACTTAAGAAAAATATAGCTGCAGTTACAAGGTCTAGGAAGTCCCATAAACGCTGGTGTTTGCTGCTTGTGGGTACTCTGGGGAGATCAGCCTCCCTGCGGTATACAAGTGATTTGCTGATCTTCTGGAGTAGGGAGAAAGTGGCAGGGGAATGACTGCTGCCTATGAATGTATGGCAATGATTGCTGCTGAGCTGAGGAGAAGAACCAGGTAGGAGTTAAAAGGCAGGAAAGTTTTTTCTTTGGGTGTCAGGCTGACAGAAGACTCTCCTTTCTAAGCCTGCAGAATTCCAGTGTTACGGAATTCCTGTCTCGAGTACCTGAAGACAGCTTGCAGCATAGCAAGCCTTGAGGTAGTCTTAATCCATCCTGTCTATTCAAGAATAAGTGTACTCAATAAAGGTCTTGTGAGAGAAGAGGGTGCTTTTTGACCTTCCTTCGCTTGGCTTTGCTTCAGACTCTCCCTCACTTGTTTGTATAATGTTGGAACAAACTTTGGTAACTTAAATTGCTGGCCTGGAGCTCAGACAAGAATGGTCAGGAAAGAAAGTACAGTGCTACTGCTTTTCACTGGCTGGTGACCGCTCTTCCCCATCACTGAGGCTGCTGGTAGCTCAGGTTGCCCTTGTTCTGCTAACAAAGATTGATGGAGAGGAGGATAATTGAGCAGCAAAAAGGCAGGCAAGGTCTCAGCCTCACAGGAGCATGTTTTAAGGCTTGGTCTAGACTAAGGGGTGAGCACAGCCTGCATAGGAAACCTCTGCAAAAAGCTGCACAAATCCTGCCAAATATACAGCCCTGTGTTCCCCTCATCATTTCTAGACTGCAGTCTGTGGCTGGTGGAGTTGAATCCTGCTCATGGGAGGCTTCTGCTGAGCTCCACCACCTATCTTGTCCTCAATAGTGGCTGAGAAGAGCCTTACACCTCTGCTGGTGCCAGTTGCTGCTGGGGGGTGAGAAAGAGGTGCAGCATGGTAGTGGTGGGTGCCAGTTATCAGCTATGAGAAGAGATGCAAATCGCCCCAGTGGGCACCCTAAAACTTACCTGAACCCCCTGTAGGGTAGCTGGGGGCTGTGTGGGACTCAAGGTAGTTCAGTCAGAGATCACTCTAGTACTTAAAAGTCACCACATTACAACAGGATACACTGGCATGGACTGCTGGTGCCTGAACTCACCCTTGTCATGGTTTGAGCCCAGAGGGCAACTGGGCACCGTGCAGCCGCTCGCTCACCCCTTCCCCTTCAGGAATGGAAAAGAGAAAATAAAGAAAAAGGCTTGGGAATCGAGATGAGGACAGGGAGGGGTGATTCACCCATCACAGTCACGGAAAAAAAACAAACTCATTATGAGAAGAAAAAGAACATACATTTAATTCAGACACTAGCAACAACAACACTTAACAGAGTGGGAGAGTGAGAAGCATTACTACATCTTAAAAAGACCTTCCTCCCTCCCCTCCCTTCTCCCCGGGCTCAGCTCTGCTCCCCACCTCTCTCCCTCCTCCCCCAGCAGCGCAGGAGGCAGGGGATGGGGGTTACAGTCAGCTCCTGCTCCTTCCTCCTCGGGGGGTGGAACTCCTCTCGTTCTCCCTCTGTTCTGCATGGCTCCCCTCCCACTGGAGACAGTCTTCCACAAACCTTCTCCGCAGTGAGTCCTCCCTACAGGCTGCAGCCATTCCTGAGCTGCCCCAGCATGGGTCACCCCTGCGTGTTCCAGTCGTCCCAGTGCTGAAACTACAACAACTGGGGCTGCTTCTCCCCTGAGAGTCCCGGCCTCCTCTGGGTGCAGCCACCTGCTCTGGTGTGGGATCCTCCACAGGCCGCAAGTCGGCTTCTGCTCCACTGGTGATCTCCCCGGGTGGCAGGGGAGGCGGCCCCTTTTCCTCCAACTTCCTTCCATTGACCTTGATGTTTGCATAGGTGTTGTTCTCGTAACTCCTCCTCACAAGTCCCAACCCCCTCTCAGGATCTTTTCTCTTAAATATGCTCTTTTTCTATCTCTACTTCAAACCACCCTCTGTGGTCTTTTTCAGAGAAGGAAGAATGTGCTACTCTGCTCCACAGAAGCTACTTATAGCAATGTGCATGGTGCTGGAGGGCCGTCAGCTTTGCTAAGTGGTGAGGCAGGGGGGAAGCAGGGACTCGAGATAAGAATAGTACATGAAATCTTAAATTTGACTGGCCTGTCAGGGAGGAAATTACAGCTTGGAGGAGGAAAAGTGGTTGTGTTTTGAATTTTCTGTAGTAAATATAAAGTCTGGGGGTTTTGGCGGTGAGGAGGCAGTTCCACCAGGAATGTGTAAGGCTTTGTTTGGGACATGCCTGCCACAGCTGTTTTTCATTATAAGAGAG